CCGAGACTATAACAATTACACGCGCAGACATACGCACACACTCACTCGCGTGCATGCACACAGGGCAGGGCATTCGTGACAGTGGTAGTAGTAGTAGTAGTAGTAGTAGATTTTTACCCCACCAGGACATCTCACAAGTGATGAACACCCGATGACACTAAGTGCCATCATGTGGATGAGGATCACCCTTGGAGAGGTCCCAGAAACCGCGTTCAGCCATTAGACCATTGGATTGGATTTTTTACCCCACCAGGACATCACACAAGCGATAAACACCCGATGACACAAAGTGCCACCATGCGGATGAGGATCACCGTGGAGAGGTCCCAGAAACCGCGTTCAGACATTTGGCCATAACGATGACCTGCCTATATTGCGGCCCCTGGCAAAAGCCAGAGTGGGGCTTCAAATAACAAAAAATAACGTCCTAAGAAGGACGAAATTTACGAAGTAGTAAATTAGACCATATTTATGGTCGAGCTATATTGGGCCCCTGGCAGTAGCCAAAGTAGGGCTTCAAAAAACGCAAAATTGCATCTGACAAGGTAATGACTGGATACTTAGTAATTCGTGACAGTGACTGACTTTCTACCCCACTAGAACATCACACAAGCGATAAACACCCAATGACACAAAGTGCCACCATGTGGATGAGGATCACCGTGGAGAGGTCCCAGAAACCGCGTTTAGACAATTGGCCATATTTATGGCCTGCCTATATTGGGGCACCTGGCAAAAGCAAGGGTGGGGCTTCAAATAACAACAAATTTCATCCTTAAAAGGACGTATGGATTATATAATATTGATATTCGTGACAGTGTTATCTTATAGACTGTGAATTTGCTGGTATAGAACGAAATTTTGTTTTCTGTTTCTGTGAGTGTTTGTGAATGTGTGTCTTTTCCTGTTAGTTAAAAAAAAAATACAGGAAATAGCTATATAAATATAAAAAGGATCTGTTAGAAAAAGAATGTACATCGGAGATATGGTGTTGAACTGCCGATGTGGATTATATTACGAATTTACTTCCCTTGCTATTTCCCTACATTTAGTTTAGACTGAGCAATTAAACCCGCTATGATGCAGATTCGAACCTAGTTAGTCTCGTAGAGACAGAAAAAAATGGATACAAGGGGAAATAAGTCGACACAAGGGGACACAAGGGACCAAAAAAGGGGGGGGGGAAGCAAAAGAGGAATTGGTTATCAACAATGAAGCTAACATCAGCCAAGCTGCATGTAAAGATTCCAGGTTTACTCTGATTTAATTAAAAACTACATTACACACACAAAGAATAAAGAAACTATTAAAACTTAATCATATATTTTTATTACCCTTGTATTAGAACGTTCAAAGCATGTTAACAAATTACTATACAGCTAACATTTACAAATTTCTTCTAGGTTAAATGCGCATATAAAAAAAAAAATGTGTGTGTTCACAAAACACTTTCTATCCAAAAAGAGAATAATGTAAAACAATAAATATGGCACTGACATGACTTTGACAAACAGATATAAAGCAGCACCAAGAAATTTTTTAATTTGGACATAAATGAAGCAACAATAAACTTTCAAAAATATGATTTAATGCTAATGTATCATTTTACCAATACAAGTAATCCTTAAGGCAAGCAAGGAATAGAGTATATCTGATCATGAATGAAGCTATGTACACAATTATGGCTAACTGTGAACACAGAAAAAGATTCAGTTTTTCTTCTACGTTCATCTGAAGATGTAATTGCATTGTGCCCACTTACCACATGGCTGCAATATTTGCACCTTTCAGCCAACTTCTGCAGGCATTTGTTGACCAGGTTAGCCTTCCTGGATTATGTTTAATAATTACTACCATACAGCACCACCTCAGCATAGACTGCCTCCTGTTTATGTCCCCAGCCTTTGCTAAACATTCATTCCAATTCCCCTGCACTGAATTCTGATCCCATCGTATTAATCTATGATGGCAGAGGTAATGGTGATGTCACAAACATTCATTTCACTGTATCATAGGAGTATTCTTGCGTTTAGGCACTTGATGATTTCCTGAGCACAATCTTTGGGTCGAGGCAGGCTTCACATGCAGGCAGTGAATTAAGTCATTGCAGAGGTCCATTGTTCATGGAGTCATCTCCAGCTTTGAACCTAGCATGCAAGCACTGCTGTCAACTCAAAGGGCGAAAGATGTATCTTTGCCACTGTTGTAGATAGCCAACCAATGGATCACGCTGACAGAGAGGAAGAGAGACAGACATACAGCAACAAAAAAACAGAGAAAGAGACAAAGAAAGTGAGAGAAGAGAGAGAAAGAGGATGCCTGGAGGCAGTGTGGCCACATTAGTGCAAAAGATGAGAGATTTGGGAGTAAAAATTTGCACCACCTCCAGTAGAGGCATACCAAATTAAACATATTTTGACAATCAGCATATGACTGTCACTAGTACCTGCCACTGTATACACGGGCGGAAGAAACTGAGCACTCATGGATGTGCTGTGAGGATAACCCATACCATATCTCAATACTTTGTGCATTTGTTCTGTTGATGTCCTCTAGTAATCAAGTAATGGGGGCAACTATCTCCCCTGTTGACACACAAGCAGATACCTCGGAGTACTGAAGTGAATCTTATCATAACTATTTTTTGGCCAACACTGTGCTATCAATGCCAAACATGGACACTTACATCCTCCAATGAATTTAAAATTGTGACAACAGAGATTAAATGCCTTAGAAAAACTGCAGGAGTTTCAAAGAAAGACAGAATGTGAAATCATGAAATCAGACGAATGCTAGGAATAAAGCCAGTCTTACAAGTCTTTGAAGAACAACAAATGAAGTGGTTTGGACACCTAACAAAAATGCCCTGGTACTATCTGCCACAGCAAGCCACACACAAACATTACAACGAGTATATAACAAGTGGAAGAAAAGATGGAGTGATGGCATTAAACAGTTTTACAGAAATGAACATCAGTCTTAATAGTGCTTTTGACAGAGCTCATCAACAAATGTTACATCTCAACCCGACACTTCGCTGAGGAACAAGGTGGGAAAGAAGAAGAACAAGAAAAAGATGTCCTTTAGATCTGATGTCTTCAACTCTTCTAATTCACATTTGCAATGGACTCACAGATTATGCTCTGAAAAATATAAAATGGTATCCTACCAGATGGAAATGCATCACTTAACACACAGGCCATTAAGATATCATAGACATTCATCTCAGATATGCAACTGTGTAGAGCAATTAGCAGGTTTACAGACTGGCTGCTGTTGCTCCTCTAGGCATTGAGCTACTTTATGATAAGGCAAACATCATAAAGCTCTCAGGTACCAGTGCACAGTGCCTTAGAAAGTAAGCAGCATAAAGAAAAAATTAAAGACATGAGTTAATCAGTTTGCTATTGTAACCATCAGCATGGAAACTGCTGGCCATTGAAAAAGAGTTTGGGAATGTGCTGGGTGCAGTGATAACAGTGCTCAAACTATTCATTTCAACCGTCATGGTTTCAGTAAGAATAGTAAGTCATTTGTTGTGATAAAATTATTTAATCTCCTATATTTCTTTCTTTCAGTAGCATCCCTTTTACACCAAATTGTTCTAGGAATTAAATATCTGCCTACTTTCTATATATTTAAAACATTAATTACAGATACATCAAGTGCAGACATAATTTTGTAACTGTTCAGTGAAAATGCAATCACAAACATTTTTAACATAATCAGTAGTTTACACTTGTTTTAAAGAAACAATGAAAACGATATACTTCAAATAAGCATTTATGTTGAGAGAGAGAGAGAGAGAGAGAGAGAGAGAGAGAGAGAGAGAGAGAGAGAGAGAGAGAGAGAGAGAGAGAGAGAGAGAGAGAGAGAGAGGGGGGGGGGGGGGAGAGTGAGTGAGTAAGAGAGAGAGAGAGGCAGACCAAGAAAAGGATACTGGAGAGACAATATAAAGACAGACCTAAAATACTTGGAGTTACCAAATGGAAAGAGAATGCCAGTCACAGAGATAAATATAGATGGATGACATCTGCAATAATGAACCTCATGGGCTCTGAATCCTAAAGAAGATGAGCTTGCACTGCAGCCAGCTGGAGACGGCCCACAACTAGAAAACAAAATAACAAAACACAAGAATCAATCATCTAGCAGGTGTAGTATCAATATTGAATGGGGACATTTTCATCACAGCTAGCTATTTTCTTTCTATTACAAATGTCAGATAATGTTATTTTGTTATTGGCTGGTAAATATCAAATAAAACCCACAAGTCTCCAAATAACAGTGGCCAATAACACTGAAAGCCTGGATTTATATTATTATTGTATATTCTGTTCTACTCTTTGTTCTTACTTTCAAAAAAAGGTTGTTGCAGTTAGCAAATTTTTAATTATGCTTGCAAAAACAAACCTTGAACATTTTCTTTGATAGCCATTAATGTGTTTTTGTGACTACAGGGCACAAAATCAGCACACATCATATCTGTATACCAAGATTAATTTTTATTTATAATTTAAATCTAAGTTGTAATTTCTATGTTACTGATCACAGGGCATATACTGATAATAGAGTGTGAAGTATTAGGCTTTCACATATTCAAGACCCTGGCAAAATGTGATGGGTCAGCTCTTCCAAGCTATCTTTCCTTTCCTGACAGTTCCAAGAAAATATCTACTAACAATTTTATGAGGCAGACTAGAGTCATACTGGGTCAAGGGGAAAAATAAAACAAATCCTGTCACTGCTGCTGACTGAATCTGGCAACTGTCTCAGCAAGCAAACATACTGACCACTATGCAGTCACGGGTTCTATTTACATAATTCAGTATAACATTACTTTTGATGTTAACCTCATTGCTGAACTTTGTAATATGTTTGAGTCTCTAATTTATTTTTTCAAACTGTAATATGTTTGAGTCTCTAATTTTTTTTTTCAAACAGTGGTGTATAATATGTTATTATTAAGCCTCTAGATTAAGCTGCACATTAGGCCTCTTTCATTTATTGTGCTTGTCAAATCGCTGCACTTCCAAATCTGACATGCTTGTTTCAACTTTATGCTGACTGACAAACACACTGGTTTCATCCAGGAAGCCTATGTAGCATGTGAGCACAAATAACCACAGAAAGAAGTGAAAAGATGATCCCAGAATATTCATGGTCATATTGAAGCCAGACATCCCAGAAATATGCCTCAGTCTGATCAGGTTGGTGATGTGACAGCCTGTCCCCCAGAAGAGATTCATCATAGCCACAACCAGGGCACCTGAAATAATAATAAATATTTCCTCCATGAACTCAACAAATGAACATATATCTAGAAAGGTGTAATGCAGTCATTGTTTAACAATTATCTTAAGTGCAGTGTTATACAAGTCTTATGTTTCACATTACTAAAGAAGACTGGCCTGCAAAAACTACAGTCAATGAACATTAAACAAAACTTTTCCTACAAGATGTATGTAGACATAAAGATGCAAGGAGTATTTGTAGCTGACTTACCAAGAAAATCTCCATAACTAGCAGCTGGAATGTTGCACATGAACTATGAAAAACACATGTGAGCAGGCCTGATAAATCTGGGCAAGAAGTGGAGTGGGTCAAAGTGACCGAGCAAGTTGCATATTTGTGTAGGGTTTTTAATCACTTTGGGTCGTGAGTGCAGAGACTGGCCAGCTGGTGCTGCAGAATCAGAAGTTCAATAATTGTTTCATAATAATTCCAACCCAGGTTATGTGATTACCTCTACAGATGGCTCTGTACTGAGGGGCAGACGAAAGGCATAGGGGTTCATAGCAAAAGCAAATGGACATTGCTTAGTGCAACAAAGTCTTGCATATGATATCACAATGTCTAGTTTGAGAATGGAAGTCACTGCTGCCTTCCACTGGCTTGAGAATCAGCTGTAAACATAAACAGTGATTGTAAATGACTCACAGAAAATGTTAGAAAGGTGGCGACAGGCATGCTCCGTGCAGAGCGGCAAGCATCACTTCAGAAGTCTCGGGTAGTTAGCATCTTTTTAGATATTTTCTCCATGTTATTTCTGTGTGTTGAGAAATTAGCAGGCAGATAGACTGGCCGGTTCTGCACCACTTGGTGGTGAATTGATGTATGACAAGCTAGATATTAAGTAGGACCTTTGGGTGAATAGTGAGGCACAGAGAGATCATTACAGTCTGAGGTGGAGGTGGAGGCGGTCACTGCAGCTTTCTGCTGGCTAGAGAACACGACACACACACACACAGCGTGTTTGTAACTGACTCAGAAAGCGTGCTGAGGAAGATCAGAATGGGTATGCTTCGTGCAGAGTGGCATGCTTCGCTGCGGAGGACACGGGTAAGGAGTATTGTCTGGATTTTTTAGCCGGGCGACGCCGGTGTGTTGGGAAATGAACAGGCGGATAGACTGGCTGGCTCTGCACAACTTGGTGGAATACTGATACATCATAGGGCAGATGTGGTTAGTGTCTTGTGGGAGAACGTGTACAGTTCGGAGGAGCAAATGGATCACCACAGTCTGGTGAGATTGATGCAGGGGGGAGTGACTAGAGGTTCTGGCAGATGCTCAAGGCTCAGAGGAAAGGCAAGACGGACGTTTAATCAGAACGCTACTGGCACCATTAGTACCAGAACTCTTCGCTGGCTGCTGAAGATGGGGGACAGAGTGCTTATGGGAATGCACCAAGTGCTGTGATGTCGGTTTTTGAATCAAATCAAATCAAATCATTACAGTCTGAGGAAAATGGCACTGCTGGGAGTTACCAGGTGATCTGGCTGATGCTCAACACTCAAGGAAAAGGCGAGACAGATATACAATCAGACAGTTACTGGGACCACTGGAATTGGAACTCTTTACTTGCTGCTGAAGATAGGGATGAAGCGCTTATGGAAGTGTCCCGAGTGCTGTGATGTCGATTCTTATTCAACATTCTATGAAAGACAGCAAGGTGGTAGAAGAAAACATTTTAAAATTTGTATTTTGGAATTGAACAAAACATGGTGAAATTGAGCAGACAAAAAAACTTTTAAAAACAGTAGGTACGGTTGTGTTCTCAGGCTATATAAAGAAAAGTGCCTCTCAACAAAAAAATGATTGGCCCTAAAGCTGTATAGGTTAGTTGCGTATCCTTTACAGGACGTTGCAGAACCAACCCCAACAGCTCCTGGCTGTTGTTTGGTTTTCTAGGCAAATTTACATCCAGTAGTTTGCCATTGCTTTCTTGAAAAGCTGTATAAGAGGCAGATATAATGCTAATCAAGTGACCGGCAGTGATTTCTAGAATAGTAACAGCAATATCATTTTAAAAGAATAAATAAAACAGGAGTGTGATCAGTTTTCAGGAACAACAAATGTTCAGGAAGACATTCACATGATATTTCAAAATACACCTACCGTAGATTATTGAAGAAAAATAATTCATTATCATCTACTCAAGCTAAGTCAGCATACCTTTGCTATTTTGTGCAACTCACCTCATGTTTTTCCCCAATGAGTTGAGATAAGTCAAGAATTGACATCACAGCACTCTGAGCATTCCCATATGTGCTCTATCTCCATCATCAGAGCCAGCACAGAGTTCCAATACTAATGATGCTGGTCGTAGTCTGGTTGTATGTCCGTCTTGCCTTTCCTCTGAGCGAAGTGTGCCGGCCAAACCCTCTGGTAACACACCAATGCATCTTTCCTGCCCATAATAATCTCTTCTGACTTCGTTACTTGTTCTCAAAGGGCTCTGACCACATCTGCCTTGTCATGTATCAATTCATCACCCAGCGGGGCAGATCCAGCCAATCTGTCTGCCTGTTCATTCCCCACCGTGCTGGCATGGCCTGGAGAAAAAATCCAGTATGCTCATTACTCTTGACCATGCAAGCGAAGATTGCCACTCTTCTTGAAGCATCCCTGTCTTCACCTTTCACAGCATGCTTTCAAAGTATGTTACAATTATGACATGTGTATGTATTTTGTTCTCTAGCCACCAGCAAGCTGCAGTGATTGCCTCCACCTCCATTCTCATGCTAGATGTTGTATCACATGCCACTCTGTCCCGCACTGAAGATTTTCCATTGGCTTTCGCAACGAAACCCCAGGCACGTCTCTTCCATCTCAATACAGAATTATCTTGTATGTTCTCTCCCATTTAATTTGCTTCCACTTTAATTCTCCTCTCCATGTATTTTGACTTGTTCTCTTTGTCACCCTGGTTTCTAGGGCATTCTAGTTATTCTGATCTCTACACCGCCCACACATAAATATGTCATCTGCAAATATTATCCGTCCAGCCTCAAATGATTTAAGGCCTGCTATCATATCACTAACTCATATACACACTGAAGACAACAGGTGAGATTTAAGATCCCTGTGGTAGTTCAGTCGTTAGTTAGAGAGTAAGTTCACGCCGATTCAGGACAGCTGGCATCCATTTCACCAATGTTTAAAAATATCTGACTTTTATTTGCACCCTCAAGATAGAGGGCTGTACCCCAGTCTCCTGTCTGTTCCAGAACTCAACATAGAAGTATAAACAAATCATTCACCTGACCTTTCTCCAACTGAGCACCTCTGAAAGTTCATGGTTAAAGATTGTCAACAAATCACCACCTGTCAATGGATGTTGCATTGCTGACTGCATTACTGCTTCAGAAATGACAAGCTGTTCCTCACGATTCTCTTCAAACCCGTGCAAACTCGATGCATCTCAGCCAGTACTATTCAACTGGTGGCTAGCGTGCCAAATCTGCAAGTGGCTGCAGATCATTACCAGGTGTATTGTATTGATTTTTTAATGCCGTGTTTTAGGCCCCTGGCCCATCAAAATCCCCATTTTCAAAATGGCCCCTTAATAATCTTAGTTGACGAGCCCTGGTCTATGTGTTTTGCTCCTCTAACAAGATCTGGAAGAAAGGACTCTAGCTAAAACTTGCACACAGTAGGATTAGAGATTTTCTGTACCGATGCTGCACAAGAGTCAGACTGGATGAACACAAGAGCAAGCTGCTCAGACTTTAAGAAGGTGTCCCTCAGGGAAGTGTTATATCTCCTACCCTGTCTATTCTCTTCATCAGTGACCTCCCCGAACAGTTCATGACTTACATTCACAAAGCTCTTCATGCAGATGACCTGGCTATATAGACCCAAGTTGAACATTTAGGAACAACTAAAACAAGAATGCAGGATGCTATAAATACAGTTAAGAAATGGACAGACTCTTGTGGGTCACAATAAACCAGAACAAAACCATCTCAACTCTTTTCTCTTTCCATAAAGCTAGAACAAGTAGATCTGTACCTAGAAGGCAACATCCTTCAATCAGAGAACAACCCAAATTATTTTGGAGTCAAATTCAACAAAAGACTAACCTGGAGCCCCACCACTGAAGATTCCCAAAGTAAAACTACCCTGTGGCTAACACTTATGAAAAAAACTTACTGGAACAAGCTGGGGTGGAGATGAAAATATAAAACACAGTATGACAAGTATCCACAGGATACGTACGACCAAAACTGGAGTATGACATGAGAACATACTCCACCGCAGCCAAATCAAATCTAAAGAAACTGGACAAAATACAGAATAGTGTTCTCAAAATCATCACTGAAGGTATTAGAAGCACACCAATTAATAACCTGAAGGCAACTTCTGGCCTCCTGAGCTTCAGCCACTGAAGGGAACAAAAGGTTCTTACTCTGAAAGAACACTTTAAAAACACATGAACATCAACCCCATGCATTTAATAGCAAATGACTTAACCACACACAAAAAAACAAGTGGACACACACATACACCGGCGGATCATTGGAGGGAGCAGCAAAAAATAGTGGAGCTCGTTCCGTGATCATGCTGCAAGACGGGACCACAGTGGAATGTGCTCCCAGAACCCCAGTAGGGAACTTTTTGTCTCTGGTGTCACAACTGCTCATTTGTTAAATTATCTGTTTTTCTTTGCAGGTCATTGTTTTTCTTAGGAAAAAACCAATATCATCTGTAAATTAAGATCTCTGAAACGTGTCAATATCCTGTCAATAGGTATGCCAAATAACAGTGCAGATTAAATACATCCTTGTTTCACTTGTTTTCCACTGCAAACCGATCATGTTCACACTGCACACTATGAACCTTCAAAAATTGCCTTTATAAAGTTTGTTTTTAATTGATACATTCAAAATAAGAGGTTGCTGTTTCAACAAATTACTCTAAATAGGTCTCAGAATAATTATTTGATCTAAGTAGTTTCTTCCAGGTCAAAAACCTGCCTATTCCTCT